ATGGAGCATTTATTACTTGTGTGGATATCTGATTTAAATTATAAAAATCTCCCAAGCCTCAACTCAGTTAATTCGACAAAATGTGAAAAACTATATGTAACTAAAATATACTATTATGTAGAAGATATATTTCCGAAATAATATCTTTTAGGTGTTATTTTTCTGGCCTCCATATGTGTTGTTTTGATATACAAAAGAAAAATTTCGGTTCCAAAAGAAAAAAATTAATCGAGGGATTCCTGTACTCAATTCCATATTAACATATATATTTATATGAGTATAGGTATAGATAATAATCTAACATTGTGAATGAAAATTATTTTAAATTTCTTTTTTTGTTTGTCTTAATTTCAAGTAATTTGGAAATTTTATGCACTAGAAAAGTATTATAATATTCAAAAATAAAAGAAGACTACAATAAAAATAAAAAAATTTCTATAAAACTCTTAACACAAATTCTTTGCAACATCTAAGATGATAATTTTTGAGTATATCCTTTTCCTTAAGGAATTTTTCAAGACATGCACAACATAAATATATGTTAAGATGAATCAAGAGACAGAACAAAAAAAAATCACAATAAAAAGAATGAAAATATTGAAACAAATGAAAATTGAAACAAATAAAATGTACTGTTATTATTCTTCAAGAAAATTAATTTTATATATGTATGCAAATTATGTATACGAGTACATTATTATTGTGAATTTACAGTACTATTCTGTTCAGTGAAACCACATTAAAGTTACAAATGGTCTCTCAGCTTAATAATATACTTCAAGAGAAAAATTCGATTTCATAAATTGAAAGAGAAAAATTTATATACGCGAAGTTGAGAGTGAATGAGTGTAGTGTGATAAAATAATTTCATTGGTTAGGTAGCACAGTAACAATATCGAAATCAAAATGGTCTCTCCATGCGGTTACTATACTACATGCGGAAAACATTTTCGATATTGACACTAAAAGTAATGTTCAGAGAACACGAATGAATATGAATGTGAGAGTATAATTTCTCTGGATTGCATTTCTGGATTGCATAATAATACTAATATACTAATAATACTAGAATACTAGTACTAATAAACTGTCATTTCACATTTTAATACGATCTAACAACAAACCATATAATTTTTGAAATCACCCTGTAAATTTTGTTGAGAAGCATACTTTAAAAATATAATTTTGTATAACATTCAAATCACACATTATTTTCTCTTCACAAGTAAGCTAATAATAATTCTCCATCTCAAAAAGAATATATAAAGGTACTCATTTTAAGAAATTGTTTAAAATCTTTAAGCGGCATTTCATTTAACAAATGAAATTTTCTCAATTCTCATTTTGACATTATATTAGAGAGGCTAATTAGAATTTTACTTGTAAGCAATTAAATATTATAATTTTTTTTTTCTTTCGTATTTAAGTGGTTTTAAATTTATTATTGTTCTTATAATATTAGAATTAAATCATTTTCGAAAATAATAATATAAGAATTATATAAGAATAATTGCAAATATTTAAATGATAGCTAGATTAGAATAAAATTTTTTTTAAGTGCCTAAGAGTATAAAATAATCTTTTAAAATGTAATAAGAATCGTTTGTGTTCTTAATATAGATTTTGTACTTAAAATATTTTATTAAATTGTCATATTTGGTGCATACATACACGTTATACTTACACACATATATTTATAAATAATTGTGCAAAATATAAAATTATTTATATACTGTCAAAAAAAAATTTTTTTTTTTGTGTGTTTTTTGTTTCTTCAGAACAAAAATCTGTATTTGAAAGGAATTTAGTGTTTTTGTGTTTCTTCTGAATATATGATAGAGTTTTGAATATACAGTTTCATCTTACAGTCGATTTGTTGAGCATACTCTTCAGAACAATAATGGAAAAAATAACATTTTCATGTCATTAACATAAGCTATTATGGTGAGGTAAGGTTTATTCCATAATAATGTCTTTATATTCGAATTTCGAGGATTAAACCATTTTCTAAATAGCTCAGTTTCAATTGGACAAGTTTTCAACCGTATAACCAAGGTATTACTGCATTTTCTATCTATTAAATTCATTAAATTCTTTCTTACTATAATACGAGTATTATTTGAATTCCAGGAGTAGCTGTCGCAGTTATTAAAAAAATTCATATACTAAATCTCATACAAGAACTGAAGACTATAAATTGAAGTCATGAGATAGCAAATTTGTCTTAAATTATTTTTATTACTACAATTTTTGAAATATGCAATTCTACATTGGCCTGTACTCGTGTGTTCATGAGAATATTTTATACTCAATGTCTTTAAACTTCGTATATTCAATCTGAATTAGAAATTTTTAGAAAATTAAGAATTCTTTAGAGGAAATAGTCTGTCCTCTTATAATTTCTTAAAAAATATAAATTTGCTTTTCAGAAAACCATTAACTTAATGCTAACTTGTTGTTACTTTTTCCCTCCATTAATCCATAAAGAAGAAAATGCATATTTATGTACGAATGTAAAGTTTGTACATACTATTTATGATTGTGTGTTTATGATATTTTTGGAAAATTATCTTTGTATATATCTTCAAAGTGATTTGTATCCTATACAGGATTTCATTCTTTTTTCTTTTTATTTTTAGGTGCACACAATATAAATAAATAAAAATGTATGAAAACATATTCGTTATATAATTTTATATGTTCCGGATTTCTTGGGTTAAAATTCATTACAGTTGCATATAAACCGATTCATGCACATATGAACAATGATAATTTTATATGAAAATTTTTTCAAGTATATTTTTCAACTACTTATATGCAAGACATGGTTTACTGGAACAATTTAAACTTAAATTTTTAAAGAATTAATCGTATAGCAATAGTGATCCTGTTAAGAAAAATTATTCTGAATTTTTAACTACTCACTTCTCAGATGAAGATAAATTGAATTTATTTTTGAAATCAGTTTACTTTAATAAAATTTTTCTTAGTTTTTGGAATATTCAAAGAAATATGGTAAATCTCTTCTCTTAACATCTTTTGATGCTTAGATTCTGAAATAAGCTATTCCTCGTCTCAGTAGTTCCGCAAATTTATACCAATTTCATTTTAAGTCGACTTGCAATACGTAATAGTGGATTGGTTTAATTAGCAATCTTTCAAGGTTGTTTGTAATATTAAAATTCTGAGACCAGACGCAATTGAGCATGAAGAAAAAAAAAATTATTTGGTTTGGTCATTTATTGTCAAAAACTGACCATTTAATTTGTGTTAAAGAATTTTTAATATTTTTAATTAAATAATTGCTATAAGAGTAAAAAAATATTCTTCCTAAAAATTTCTTTACATAAATTTCAAAAATTTATTACAAAATATTTTCGAAATTAAAAAATTTATTTATTTTAAAAATTTTTTCTGGGTAAAATTATTTGTGTTCTAAGCAAAACAATTTGTGAATTCTTTAAAATAAATTGAAAATTTCATAAACGTAGAAACTATTATTTCATCGTTTTTATACATACTTAACGCATTCTGACAGGTTTCCATAACCCACATACACACGTACAGTTTCTTGCTTCCTTAAAATATTGCTCCCCCCCTTTTCTTACGTCTTTACCACCCCTATTCTAAAAACTAACATTTTTTTATAACAGTTTAATAATATTGTATATTTTGCATGTAGTACAATTTTCTTACTTTCTTTTCATTCTTCATCTTGTATTTATATTTATAACTGTACGTATGTAAGTATTTTGTTATATTTTAAATTTTTATGTTTTTGTCAAGTCATTGCCAGAAATTTAAATTTTTGTTTTTTATTGCAAAAAAAAATTGATCATTATTTATATGAAATTTTAACAAGCATCCAAAAAAGAAAGTAAAAAAAAGAAAATCAAAAACCTCATAAAATTTTACAAAACCCTTAAAATTTAATACGTGCCATATACACATATGTTGTTACATATATAATACAGTTGTTTATTTAACATTTTGTATGAAACAAAAAAAAAAAAGGGAAAGTAAAATTTTATCATCGCAATTTTCGTTAAATACTCAACTGTTATGGTGGGAATTATTTCGGGAGTAAAACAAAAAAAAAACCCAAGTTGAAATTTCTTGTACTAAAAACTCTCAATCAAAAATAATAATATGCACCATGAGTATAAAATGTCAACACATAAACACATACAAGATAAATAATTTTTTTTTTTAATTTATTTTTTTATTTCTGTTCGAACTTGTCTAAACTATTACGATATGAGATAAAATTGCAATGAAAATTAAACTTAATAGAGAGAGTGGAGAATTTTTTCTTTTAAAATTCTCTCATTCAAACTAAAGTTACAATGCTTTCTTAAACAAGTTACAATAGCACTATCGTTTTTCTGAACAACTTTAATTTTCAATATAATTTTTTTTTTGTTTTCTTTATTAAATTTTATTATAATTGTGAAATTTCTATTTAAAATAGAGAAATATAACTTTCTCGTGTTTGCATTACTTAAAATATATAAAAAAAAATAATAATTATTTCCGGGATATGAGAGAGAAAGGAGGAGGGAGAGCGGAAGGGATTAAAACAATAAAAGTCTTTTTATTTTGCCAAAATATTGCATATATGAAAATCTTTTCTTTCTCTTATGATGCTTGTGACAAAAAAACAAGAAAAATAAAGAAAATGAAGCACTAACAGTGCATGTTAAGGAGTACATACATACACACGTACATATATACCAATCCATTATCTCGAATTCAAATAAAAAACAACACAAAACAATCAAAAATAAAAAATCTGCTCTTTTTTTCGTGTTCCTTCTTTCTCATTCCTAAACAATTGTAGAGAGTGAGTGGAAACAGTTCTCAAATCATAATCAAAGAAATAACATTTATTTATTTATTCTTGTTTTTTGTTTTTTACTAAACAAAAAATAAAAAGAAAAGGACAAATACAAAATAATTTTTTTATTTTTTATTTCAATTTTTTTTTTTATTATACTTACATGCATTTGTATGTTATTGCGTTGTATTGTTTGTGATGTTTATTCCCTACGTCAGAACCATCTCATTTAATATATATTTGTAACAGTAAAGTAGTAAAAATAAAAATGTCGTAATAGTTGTAAAATTGTCACAACTTTGCATCTGGGTACCATTCATTATAACCCATGGTGATAGAGGTGATGGTACAACAGCAGGAGGTTGTTGTGAATTTCTTGCTTTTTCATAACCATTTCTTGATGGTGTAAGTGGTGTATGTACTGTTAAAAAAAAAAGGGTAAAAAGAGATAGAAAATAAATTTTTTTTTCCGTTATATGGTAAAGAAGAGTAAAATTTAAATGAATTGGAATAGAAGATACCAAAGAAATATTGTTGTTCTACTATTTTTTTCTTCATTTTAAAGAAGACTGTTTTAAAAACACATTAGAGCGACAAGCATAAGTGTATGTATAATAAATGTAAAGAAAAAGAATAAGAATACAAAATAAAAGATGAACATGAAATAACAATAAATGTTTTTAGAGTTTAAAGTTAACCTTTAAAAATTATGGATGGAAAAAGGAGAACAGAAATAAAAAACAGTTATGATTTAATAATTGGAAGCAACAAGAATTTAAAAACATAGTAACCGCATTCGGAAGTCCAAATTTTTATTTTAGAAAAATTTGATTTTATTTCTTGATTTTAACAGGAACATCATAGCAAGTTGGTTTAATTGCGTCAAATTTTAATTAAGTGATGTTTGAAATAATGCAAAGCGTTTTAGCTACACGCTTGCATGCTTGATAAGGTAGTACAAATCAAACGTTTCCCGTCAATCGAATTACATAGGAAGGTTCCTTGAACTCTTGCAATTTACAATTATGTTATGTGTTCACATAAAGATATTTGTTATTCGTATTCAACTCGTATTATAATTTTTTAATTATGTAATTATAAAATTTGCATATATTTAGGCGTATTGAATTCAAATTTTGTGTATTTTCAAACGTATTTGCCATTCAAATTCAAAATTGCCTACTACATTTAGCAGAAATTATTTTTTAAACTGCAAAAGTAGATTTTTCTAATTGAAAGGTGTGCATTCGAATCTAAGGTGTGAAGAAAATCACACCAAAGTAGTTAAAATAAACTTGTACGTACTGCCCTTATTGTTGGTGAAAATCGTTTTTAAATATTATTTTTCGTTTTGAAAACGATCACATTTTACAATTAACATGGACGAAATTTCAATTCTTTTTTTTTTAAATAAAAACTATTTCGAAAACTTTCTTTTCAAATATAACAGAAGGTAGTGAAGGCTTTTGTTTGAATAACAAAACTAATTCTTCAACAAAAAAAAATAAAAGACGAAGTTTGTTGAAAAACAGACGAAAAAGTTAAAAACATAAAACTGTTAAAATAAGTGCTATGTAATGAAGTAAAGCAAAGGACACTTAGACTGCAAAAAAAAGAGGAAATTAAGTGTAAAAAGTAAATTTTAGGAAAGTGTAGGAATAAAAAAGGGAAAAAGGTTTTTCAACAAAAAAAAAAATCTGCATATGCGACAACAAAATAAAAGATTTGTTCTTCGGTTTTTTTTTTTTTTTGATTTTCGGTAATGTGTTAGGTATTTCCAGCTAATAATAAAATTTGATGCTCAATGTTTCAATAAATTGCTCTTCGAGTTTTTAATTTAGTTCAATTAAAATCATAATTTTGGGCAGATTTGGAACCAGCAATAATTTGCGAATTTTGTATAAAATTCAAATGTCTGAAATCAATTGACAAGTAGCAGCAACGTGAAAGTGCTTTGTGGTCTAAGGAGTACTTGAGGGGGTTCGCGATTTAACTCCGCAATGCAATAAATACGACATGTATGATTTCAGTTATTTTCTGTACGGCAATAAGTTGACATAACCGGAAAAATTATGTTTCTTGAATTAACATCTTGACAGTTACTGTAAATAAATAGAATACTGTCAAGTAGTTTCAGAAAAATTCTATTAAAATCAATTTTAATCTTATCCTTATGGTTTTTTCAATTACTAGAAGAAATGACATAAAATTAGATCTAAATTCTATAACTAAACTTGGTTGCAAACACTTGTTTTTTGTACAAAAAACTTTTATTCCACTCATTTGTTCTATACCTAAATTGTAGAAGTACAATGTAAAAAAAAAACTTTCGAAACCTATAGATTTAATTTTTAATTTAAGAATAAAAACAATGCTATAAGAGAAGGAAAGAAAACAACAAATTTTACACAGTAAAAAGTTGTTGCATTCACCTAACTTACATGTATGAATGCATGTGTATTTAAGATTATTGTTATACATGTCTTATACATTGAAAGAATGCAATGAATAAATTTAAGTAGCTAAAACAAGAAAAAATGAAAGCCATAGAGAATTAGACATAACAAGAGAAAGGTGGAGAAAAGTAAAATAAAGGAATTATTGCAGAAACTTTATAATTCTCTAAAATTGGGCTTCAAAAACAATTTTAAAAATTTTTATTTTTTGTGCATTAAAAGAGCAATAATACATTACTCGTATGTATGTAATATTGTAATGGTATGAAATTGAAAATTGAATGAAATAGTTAATCTATTTGTATATTTAATTAAAATTTTGATACTGTGAGAATTTGCTGTAGATTTTTTAAAAGACTGTAAAAATTTTACAATTGAGAATTATAAGAAAGCGATTAAAATACAAAATTTTTTGGGATTTTAGTCAGAAGCAACTTTAAATTGTTATAAAGCTAATTAAAGTATTAAATAGGTTCTTGTCTAGACTTGTCTATGGTAATTGTAATTTGAAAATTTTTGCAATAACGAATCATTAAATTCAGAGTCTATGAGGAAAGGGTAATGCTTTGAATTTATTCTTAGAACTTGGCATCGAATTAAAAATGACAAGGATGATAGAAAATTTTTTTTGAAAATTTAACAATTTGAAAGAAATTGAATTCCATTTTATAGCTTTTATTAAATTTTTAAAATTTCACCAACATTTAATTTAAATACATTTTTCTTGATGTAAGAAAGAGAAAAAAAAATTTTACATAGCAGAGAAAATTTTACTCTTAATAATTATTTCTTTGCATTTTTTTTTCTCAACCACAAGAAGACTAAACTTTTTGATAATTTCCAAATTTCAACATAATTATTTTTGTTTTCTGTTTTTTTTTTCAAGTATGACAAAGACAAAACCATTAAATGTGTTAAAACTAAAAAGCCAATTTCTGACATTTAAGTTTGACCAGGAAAAAGAGTAAAATTGAAAGTAAAAAAAAAAATTTTTTTATCTAAAATTAGAAATTACAAAAGTATTGTAGTAAGTGTAACTTCTCTTGTATACTAAACTACAGTGGTAATATATTTCACCTATGCTACGGTATCAAGAGAGAAGAGAGAAAAAAGAGTAAAAATTAGAATTTTTTTTTTTGTTTGTTTTTTCAAAATAGTTGAACTTAAATTTTGTAAAATAACATTGTATGTATTTAAAATACAATTATACAAAACACAAATGCAACAATTTTTATAATAAAAATGTTATACAACATGTTCAACAGAGAAAACATACATACTTCTAGTGTGTTTGATTGTATATAACACGGAAAAAAATTATCTTTTGGTTGTGTAATTTTTACTTAAAAAAATTTCCAAAAAATAAAAGAATTCAACACATATACTTGTATTTGAACTATCTTTAAAATTATAAGGAGTGAGAGGGAAAACAAACACAAAAAAAAAAAAAATGTGAACAAATAAAACTAAAGTGTTGCTTTCTTACCTTCCGGATAGCTATTTAAGACATCATTCTCCAATATGTGATTTGTAATTGCGGTCTCCTTAACTCTTACAACTTCGTTAATATTTTTATTGTGATTTGTTACAGTCTTACGACGTGGTTTTTGTGTTGTTATATAGGGTGTTGGTGTTGTTGTTGGTTTTGGTGGTAATCGAAGTTCTGCAATAAATTGATAATAATTTATAAAATTTATAGAAAACTTCTTTTTTTTTATATATCATTGGTTTACAAAAAAAATAAATATATATATATATACATAAATGTATTAAGGACAATTATTTGAGAATGAAACTAATAGAAGCACATTTCACGTATGTTGTATAGTACGTATGGTATAGTGTTTACGAAAAATATAAAATTTTTTGATGATTAGTTTATTATGTTTTGATATTTTGATGATTATTTACCAGGAGGGTGAGAACAAGAGAGGAAGTAATCAAGAGCGTATCAACAGCATGGTACCCTTGGAGTAAACGTATTGTGTGATTCATTCCCGCATATGATTCCCACAGAGTTATTATTCGCACGAATTTTGTATTATTCTCACATATTATTTGCCAATAAGCATTTGGAAAGAAGTCATATCAGTAATCATATGAGTAATTTTAACATAACAGTAGTTTCGACTTGTCCTCAGGATTTTTTAAAACCTGAGCAATTTTATTAAGACAACATCCTCCCTTGTAGATTACATATATATTGGTGTAGTGTAGATTAAAATTACATATGCATTTCAGGTGTAAAATGGAGGAAGACGCCGTCTCTTTCTTGGTTTCTTTCTATCTTCTGCGCCATATAGTTTTTCTCGGCGCTTCTACATAGTCTTGTTGTTATAAGCCATCATGGTCAAAATTTAACAAGTATGTGATACATTTTATGAGCTTCATACAATATTTTTGAAGTTTCATACTGTATTGGACAACACCATGTCTTCGAAAAATTTTTACACAAAAAGTGGAGAAGGAAATTCTGAATTATTTCTGTTTTTTTTTTCTCCTATAAGGATGTTTACTTGTTCATTTTATTTCTTCCATTTAATGTGATATATTTTCTCCATGGACTTGTAACAATGCTTTAATGATTCTTTTATGTGTTACGTTTACTATATTGTACATACGTCATATACTCGTATGAGTATAAGTTTATATGTTATGTATAAACCTACAATAGCTCCTGACTAAAAAATTTTTTATAATTCAATGAACTCTTGTATATAAGTGTATATTGTTAAAAAAATAAATGTGGTACTTTTTACATTTTTTAACTAAAAAGACTTGTTGGTCTTTGAGAGAATTCAATTTGTTTTGGAAAAAGCTAAAAAGTTTTCTATTATATTTTTTTTTCCCATTTTGAAATTTTTTTTCCTTTAGAGTGAAAATTTGAGAAAAAATCCTTATTATAAAAGTAAAAAAAAGTTTTCAAAAGAAAATTTTAGTTTTACAAAGGGTTTACTAAGTAGTTTTTAAAGATGCAACAGGGTTTTTTTCCCTCTTTTTCGATTCTTATAGCCAATGGTATGCTCTTAATCTGTATTTCAATTGGAATCAAATTATTTTGGCTCAGTAATTGGATAATGTGCTAAAACTTTAAATTATTTTATTCGTGTCTAGTGGTACAAAAATCAATCTTGCTGTTATTGGCTTCTATGGATGAATGAATAAGAAATCATTTGTCTTAATTAATTTAAAAAAAAAACCTCTGACTTAAAGCTATATACCCGTTGAGGCAACTAAACGAATGTTAGAATGCCCAATACACTATTCGACTCCTGAGATTACAATAATAGCTTTTAATTTTAAAATCTAAAGATTTATGTTGAAGTTAAACGTAAAAAATTTTCCTCATATAGGCATCAGTCCGAGAAATATTTGGAGCGGGGCAGGATATCAACAATCGACATGAATATTGCGTTATATTGAACGTTTTATTCTATCATAGTTGTCACTTACGACACTCCAGCTCCTTAATGATATTATATGGATTCTAACTCAATTAATCACGAAATGAGATTTGATTTACTCATGACCTTATTTGGGATATTCTTAATATCTAGTTTGTGATCCAGTAGTACCTTAAAGTAACCGTAATTGTAGTGGATTAACCAATCCCTGTTACACGTTATTATACATTGATCAGGAGAAATAATTAATTCGAGCGATTTTATCTTTGCATTACTGATGTGATTTAAAATTAGAAATTAGATACAATTCAATTAAATGGGAATAAATAAATCCTTTAATTTACAGAATATCAGGATTATTAAAAAAAATGCTCTGAGAGAAAACGATTTACCATGCACTAGAAACAAAACAGAAGGCAACATCTTACGATTCTTATGGAGGACATTATAAAATGTTCAAGTTTAACAAAGCAAATTTTCTTTATATTTAAAAAAAAGACAAAAAACTAGCGTCATAATTTAATAGAATGAGAAAATGTAAGTATAAATAAGAAGATAAAAGGAACAAAAATCCGAACACAAGGCAAGTAAGGACACAAAGAAAATAAAAACTGCATAACTGTAAAATCTTTGTGTTCATTTCTATTTTATTTTTCTTTTCTTCTCTTGTATCTGGTATTTTTTTTTTAAGGAAAAGTCCGGAAAATTCTTTTATAATAATATATGTATAAGAATGTAATTTTCTCAAGGATATCTATTAATAACTCTGAGTTTATTTAAATGTATAAATAATGTAAAAAGGACATTTTTCTTATTTTCTTTTTGCTTTCGATTTAAAGAAAAATATTTTTTATTTTTTATAATTTATATAGAAAATTTACAATAAAAAATAATGTGTATATGGTGCTATGTAAACATGTATTGCAATGTGTTCATAGAATAGAGTACAAAATACAAAGGATAATGGTATTGAATATGAAAAAAAAAAAAAATAAGAATTAAAAATTTTCAGACGCATCAAATTTAATTCTGCACACACACACAATATTAAAGAAAATCATCTTTTTCTTAGAATAAGAATATATCAGCAAAATATCTACACTAACAAAAAAATAAGAAAGGATACAAGGAGTTTTTCTGATATAAGGGAAAAGTTTTTAGAAAAAGCAAAACAAAACTTCTTTTTATATATATCATTTTACTTATACTCAGTATTAGGATATCACGTCGTCATCAGAACAAAAGGCATTAAACCATAATAATAATAGAAAACTTTAAATAAATTGTATGTCCCAAGGATAGTAATTTAAAATACCACAAAATATGTCTCACATACAATATAATATATAAGTAAGGTTCTTTATGCCTGTATAAATAGAATGTGTACAATACAATGGTGATCAGAACAGAATAAAATCTATAAATAAATATAAGAAAAGTGTTAGTAGAAAAAATTTTCTAAATTTATTATAACCTTAAAAATGCAAAAATATTGAAAAATATTGTGTGGACCATGGACACTATATGTTTATTTTGTGCGGAATATGTTAAACAATAATAAAATTTTTCCATTGTAGCACCTTTTATAGCTAGAAGAACATATTCTTCCATTGCAAATGACGATCATAAGCGTAAATCTTATATTTGTGCGGATGTTATTAAAAATGTACTTCTTATGGTTAAAACTGGAATTCTACATTTAATTTGTACATGAATCTTTAAATGTTTTGCAGTTCTAATCTTAAAAACTGAATTTTCAAAAACATCCTAGTCTGTCAAAATTTAAGGTACCCGCCACTTCAATTCAAGTCAAAATGTACCTTAGAACTATCCTCTACAATTGTCTCATAAACTATTATATGAGTCTTAGTTTTAATTAGAGTTTTAATTAGTGGCGCCTGACATTGGAATTTTGAAGTCGATTAAATAATATCACATAAGCAATAAATATCACATTTCTATATTAATTATATTAATAATAGTTTTAATAATATTATATTAGTTAATAACAATAGTTATTAGTTCAAGTTTTTTATGCTTTTAAAGAGTAACTTTTTATATTGTCACATTCATTCACAATAACAAATTGTTGACCGGAATTTTTGCAATATAATTATGATATCTCTGGCAACACTTTTTTAATAATGCGTTAATTTAAACGTTTCCAAGATAAATTTAAAATTTAAATAAAAACTATATTGCAATCTACTTTAAATTACTTAAATATATTCTATGAACACAGCAGGTTTTAATAGCCAATAAACGCTCAATTTAAATTCAAAATTTATGCAATTTTAAATTTTTTAAACAAACACACAAAAAAAAAAAAAATAATTTAAAAACAAACAAATTTACATATTTATTCCTTTCTTTTTTTAAATTGTTTTTAATGACATTACGAGTATAATAAAAGTAGGTACATTAAAATAATTGATTTACCTTGCAATCGAATTAAAGCTTCACTTTTGCCTAAAGCATTAACACTTGAACAACTATACGCACCAAAATCATTTTTTTGTAAATTTCTAATTGTCAAATTTAATTGCCACGTATACATATTTAGCATAGCTTCTGATATGTTATATTTTGGCCCATCATGTAATTTAATATTTCCTATATTTACAGGGAAAAAAAAAGTAAAACATGAAAGAGAAAAAAAAAATAAATTTATTTTTGTTTTTAATAAAATTGATTTTAATTGTTATCGGTAAATGATAATAGACCAACAAAAAAAAACAAAACAATTAATTGCCTACCTTCATTTTTATACCATCCATTTAATGGTTTTGGATACACTTCAACAATACATTCTAATGTAACTGATCTTTCAACAGGTGCAGCTAACAATTCATTAATAGCTTTAACAGATGGCGGAACTATATAAAAAAAAAAATAAAATAAAAGCAGTAATTAATATTTTAAATTTTAAATTTTTATAATACCAGAATAATTGAATTATTTAAAAATTTAAAAGAATTTTACAATTAAAACGATGGGCATTAATATTTAATAGCTTGGAATTGAGCCAATGATTTGCAAAATAGTAAACCATTTTAAGCAATTAGAAATAATATATATAGTCATATGTTGTTGCATAATGTTAGGAGAAAAGTTCGTCATATGTTGTTGCATAATGTTAGGAGAAAAGTTCGTCATATGTTGTTGCATAATGCTAGGAGGAAAACATAATTAATACTGAAATAATGGGCGAGTCCGGACAATTAAGTTATTGGGTAATTAGTACAATTAAAGCAGACAAAGAAATTCAATAATAGCACTCTCGAGACATTTTCCGTAACTATTTCCTTAAACAGAGATAAATGTATGTTTGTAAAACCATCACCATAAGTTTTTTCGGCCGCAAAAATTTTTTCATAGCTCGTATCGTATGCAATGAATTATACGAGTAAAAAAAATAATTTTATTAAAAAAAAAAAAAACAAGAAATTATTGCAATATTTATATATAAAAATTAATCAAGCTCAGAAATTTTTAAAAATCTGTACTTCATTGTGGTTGAAAACAAAACACAAAACATATGTGTACATTTATTCCAAGAATTTTAGAAAGGTCTACTCTTTCTTCTATATTAATTGGAAATATAAACCCATATTTAATTCATAAATCATATACAAGAACCATACCTATTTCATATTTAATTATTAAATGGCCTAAACACAATTTTTTTACCCTATTTTAATTATAAATTTCTCTTTGAAAAATTTCATATTTTCAGGATATTTATTTGTTTACTCTCATTCTAATTCATCCCTTTCATTCATTTGATCTATTTGACTCCTAAATAGTGAATGTCTTTAAAAAGATGATTTTTTTTCCTATCAATTTAAAAAAAAAAATTATATGAAGTAAATTATAAAAAATTAATTGTTAAAATATCATCATATCCTTTTTTTTTACTTTTGTTATATTGTTTCTATGCTCTTAATTAAAATGTAAAATGTATGGGAAAAATTAAAAAAAAAAAATTAGAAGAAAAATAGTAAAATAAAATGATAGAAAAAAAAAACATAAATTTTCTCTCCCTCTCTTAATATTTTACGAAATTTTCTATGCATGTATATGTAAATGTATGTGTATATATATATACACATATATATTTCATTATTTTCACTTATAACAAAGTTTTCGTATTTTTTTTGTATTTTCAACCGCCACAATAAAACGCAAAGCCGTTAATAATTTTCTACTTTGACGAGAGCAAAAAAAAAAAAAGCAACAACAACAATAACCAACAAAAGAGTGTTATTTTTTTGGGTTTTATATTCTCTTTTTTTTTTCCTCATTTTATGTTTATTATAAGTACCGGAACGCGCTAAAGGATAATGTAAAGTCATAAATAAAGTGGATTAAAGAACAATGATCCTTTCCTGTAAAATATGTGCTATTTTCTGCAGCTGAGCATTATAACACTTTGAAATTAATCATGTGACGTTTAAAAAATAAAAAATAAAAATAGAAAGGAACAGAAAAAGCTAAATAATATACACCTACTTACTATTGTATATTATTAGATATATTAACGCATACATATATATACCGTATATATATAACAACGTACATAGTAGATATGGGAGAGTAGCGTGGAACGAAATATTTTAATAAAAAACAAATAGAGAGTAAGTATAAATGTTATTTTTGTTATTTATTTGAAGAAAAAAAATAAGTATTAGAAGAAATCAGGGTTCTAAGATTTTATTTCAATTTACTGTACTACTGTATATAAGACCCCTCCGGGTGAAAACCGTACACCGTAATGTCACGGCACCCACATTATAGTTATCTTGTTATGTCTAGCCAGAATGTCAAGGGTATCGACGCATTCCGTTAAAAGTTTATATCCCACTACATCAAACGAAAGGACGCCAAGAAAGGCACTACTGTCCGGAATAATAAAAATCCTGCTCTTTTTAAAGTTTCTTCTAATATACTCTCAAGGACACAATTCTATTAAACTTATTTCGGGTTGAAAAATTGGTGGATAGGTTACCCAAGTGTCCTAAGATCAGATCCCTAGTTTAGTCGGCGATTTAGATTCACTCCCAAATACTTGATACCTATAGAAGGTTCAATAAAACACCGGATGCAAGCTAAATTTTTGTTTAGTAAATGGCACAATAACTGTTTTGCTAGGGTTAAAGCCGAATTCTTCAGTATCCAGTTTCAAACAACGTTTAAGACATTCGGTTGACTTCCACATGATCATGCTGACGCCTCATAACAACGACTAGATCATCAGTTTAGCCTGGCTTATTATACCCGCTTTCGGATAGCCTGAGCAGAACACCGTCAAGCACCATGCAATAAAGCAAACGAACTAGATGCCTTCCTGAAGGCAGCCGCACAACTTGCTACTATGCTGAAATTTTCTTGTTCTATATTGAAATTCTCAATTGTCCTAAACTTTTTATAAAATTATTTTTTAAGTTTCAACTTTTTTTATTTGTTTTTATTTTAAATTCTTAAAATCTCGATGACAACACTTGAAACGTTTATAAAAGAATTTAGAAAACGAATGTGTGGCTGTAACTGTTATGACAAATGATATACCGGAGTTTGAGGTGCACTTATTAATATTTATTATTTTTTTTTTTGAAATGCCATGCCACCTCTTCTTTTTCTCTCATTGTAATATTTTTAATTTTAATTTTCTCTAAATAAAATGTACAGTGACGATAAAAACACATACAAGTGAGCACGTACATAACTGAGTGAAAAAGAGAATAAAATATATTGTATTTATTTATTTCTCAATTGTTGTTGTTTCTTTTCTTTGTTTAATAATATGTACGTGTATAAACTGATCGCTTAATTCTTAACTAAGAGAAACTATAAAGACGAACAAAAAAGTATTTATAATAAGGTTTTAAGTCTTTTTCCGTTAGTTAGTTATCCTGTATATTTTTATATTTTCCAAAAGCAGATACAGTAAGTAGAAAAATATCACAACAGAAATAGTATTTTTTTTTTCTCAGTCTTTGTTTCTATTTTAGAGTACCTACACATTATAAGAGGATGCTGAGAATTACAGTTGAACGTACATACATATATAAAATATAATAAATCGCGGAAAGAACAAAAAAAAAGTAGAAAAAAAGTATAGAAAATGGTTCACTTGTAAATAGTAAATTGGATCATTTCGGAAAGGGTTAAGATGATCTATGTAAGGATAATATGCCGTTAATAATTAAATGTGAGAAAATGAAATTTAGAAAAATGAAAAATAGAATAATATAAAAATAAGAGCAACAAATTAAGAAATTGTAAAAGGAAATGAAAGATAAATGTCTATAAGTAAAATATATAAGCATAATTATTTTAACATATACATAAATGTATATGTATGTGTATTGCATGAAATAAATGCGAAATTATTTTCTTTTTGGTTCGCGCTATTAATTATTCTACTACGAAAACAATAGAGATTTTGGGTTTTTTTTTTCAAATATAAAGCAATTCATGGTGGTTTACTGTAATTTAATATTAAATATTATTTTATTTAATTAATTAAATTAAATTAAATTAAAAAAAGAGCAGAATTAATTATGTACATCCCACAATATTTTATAAAGCAAACGCTGTTCTATATTAAAACACATACATTTGAAAAGAAATCTCGGAAAACTCTTATTTTCGTGTACGATATAAGTTTATTTTACAATTTTAGAATTGTTGAGAGAAAAGGAAAGATGTGGCTGCTGCGGGATTACTGCGAACATGGATGATATAAATATTAGTCTCCAACAAATTTCTAAAGATGGTTAATGTGTTTATGTTTATGTTAAGTGAAAAGTGAATTAACCACCATATTTTGAGATTCGATGCGCTACGATTTTAATAGAATATAAGGACTGTCATAGAAATATTTGAATGGAAAATTCTATTGCGGTGAATGATATTGAAATGGGGTTGAGACCGTTCCGGTGACAAGTCTACTAGATAATTAAAATCATTTTCAAGGCCAGGTCACTTGTGGTTGTCAGAGGATTTTGATGGGTGGCTCGCACCCTCTTTCATCATTTTTGCGTAGTGATCACATCTGTAGCCGAAATAGAGTGATCTTGCGAGCACTTTATAGGTGGATCGTTAGAAACACAAACTTGAATGGATCGTTTTGTGTTTCTATCATTCGGGGAATTGGGAAACATTAGTGTTTTTTTTTATTTCAAATTTAGATTTTCATCTATTTATATGTTGGTATACTTACAATTAATATGTACATCAAAACGTTTACTGACAGATGGTGGTACTCCATTACTAGCTATACATAAATATCCTCCCATATCGGTACGTTGAACATTTGTTAAATATAAACGTTCTCCTTCAACAGTTTTCACAGCTGACAATTACAAAAATTTGTTATTTTTAATTTTTCATCTAAATTTCTCTAATTATATTCGAATTAAAATCAATTTTTAAATAATTTAATTTATTGATTAAATTCATTTTTGAAATAAAAATTAATTATAAAAATTTAATTAAATTATTTCTAATTTATGCAAAATTTTATTATTTTGTATTTTAATTTTCCAATATCATATTTTATTTAGTGCCAGGAGAAACCTTTAGTAATATTCTGATTTTCTATTTTAAAATTATTCTATAATATTTTAATTTAAAATTTTAATCTTTTAGACACCAAATAGAAAATCTTATATAGGAAAGAATTATGGCTTTTAATGTTTTACAATAATATTGTAAATTTTTAAAATAAAATTCTTAGATTCCATTATTAAAGTTCATTTACCTTGTTTTTCTCTTGTTTCATGTCTTAAAACAATATCTTTACCACCTTCACGTCGCCACATTACTGTCGGTTCTGGTACACCAGTAGCACTACAAATTAATAATATTATTCCACCTTCATTTGTTATTCCTTCTTCATGTGCACCAGCACCAGCACCATTTGAATCTGGTGAACTTAATATATCAGGTGGGACAACAACATTTAGATATCCAGACTGTAATAATATATATAATATTAAATATGTTATATATACATATATAACAGAATAACATAAATTTATAAGATGAACCAAAAACCAATAAGGAATAAGGAAATACAAAATAATAAAAATAAATAAAATTTTATTAACAATAAAATGTAATCCTTATATCTTATATATAGGAAATTGTAATATTAAAACGAAGAACATAAGCATATAAGATTAAGTTCTAACAATAATACATAACCATTGCAATAATGAAAAAAAATATGTAGAAGAAGGACATTTGTTATCAATAAATAAAATTTCTTGAAGTTTAATTGTTGTGTTCCTTAATTATATCACTTGTACTTATGGCATTATTGAAATTTTATAAAAGGAAGAACGTTGGCATTAACCAATGAATTAAAAATATTGATTTGTTAAATTTTTAGAATGATTTTTCAAAATTTATTTAATTGAATTTCTATATGAAAATTAAACAATGTTAAAGTTATTTAAGATAATTTTAGTAATTAATCCCAGATAATATTACTCAGTACTACTTTAAACCCGTAAAATTTGAAATAAAACAAAAAAGTAATTGTCCTCATATCTCCTTAAGGTTGTGAAATTGTTTAATATAAATTTTAAATTTAGACTATGTGTCCGAAAACAGATGGTCATTGATGATAATAAACTCATAAATTTAGAAATTTTGCAGATATTCATTTCGTAAATGTTTTTTTTTTTTATTACAAAAAAAAAGGCGACGTGATTTTATTAATATTACATTAAAAATAGGGCAATCATATCACTTCCGGATTTTATAATACATTTATATTATCTATGTGTATGTGTGAGTAGAAAATGAAATGGAATTTTGTTTTTAATTTTTATGATAACCGCAAAATATAAAATTTTGTAAAATTATTGAAAAAAAAAAATTTAATTTAACTTTAAGTTTGTGAACGAAAGATGGCAATGTGCAGTCTCAAAGACGTCTCCTATGCATGTAGTAAAATTCAAATAAACAAAAATGCGTGCTTTGACAAATTGTGCTGAAAAATTTAATAAAATGAATTTGTGGAAGAAAAATTTTGAATTTATGTATAGATATTATCATTTTAAAACAGAATAAGAAAAACCGACCAATTTGATCAGCATAGGTAATTAAAATATTTTATTCCGGTTAAATTTAAGGCCGACAACTGCTGTCCTTCCAAAAAATCAATTACCAGGAGAGTAAATTACAATATCTTGAACAACTTTTCAAGATATTTTAATTTGCTCTCCAACAATATGTGGGCCTAGAAATAAACATCACTAATACGAAAAATAATAAATGCCTCAACGATCTTACAACTCAATAATGCACAAAATATTTAGATACCTCACCGTATTCTTACCACTTATACTGCACCATAACATGTGCAGAGAGATAGATTTAAGAAGTTTAAGAAGAGAGCATTATTCGGGCGATCAATATGGAGAGATGCTGCCTAACAACGGAAAAGATAGAGCATTAAATATTGTGATCCCGTATTATATTAATTTTCATATACGGGGACAAGTGGAACCAAACGTTGCTAATTTTAAAAAGTGGTAGGCGGAAATAGCAAATTTCCGGAATTTTTTCAAAACAACCATTTTGGTATAATTTTTACGAATAAACAACAAGGAATTCCGTATACAAACAGACAGAACTAACAGGAAAATATGAAGTGGAAATGAATTAGATACCCTTCAAGACCATAAACAAAATTGCCAGAATAAGTTTGGAATGGAATGTACACAGTTCTGCGAATATCGGGACTAATGAAGGGAATTGCCAAAAACTATTTGTTAGTGTCTATAAAACCTAGAATCATGATGGAGTATGGAAAAAAGAAAAATTTATTGTTATATGGCTTCTCTCAATCATCAAATAAAATGTGGATAAATTTTTCATAACAAAGATCGCTATTCCTCTATTATACTCGTACAATTACACAAAAATAACCATATGTGCTAAATTTAAAGTAAAATAACCTTCTTATTAATTTTTGTCTAGACCTAATGTAATTAAATTTACATACTTATATTACAAATACTTTCACTACTCAATACAATCTTAGTGTTAGTAAATGATGATATGCTCATTAAAAAATTCTTAAAATTTCAAAACAATGTCCTTTTGTACAGAAATTCTTCAAAAGTAAAAAGAGCTCTTAAAATTCAAGTACCTACATGCTATGCATTTTCAAAACAAAATTTATTAATCGTTTCCATATTCTGGTATTAAACTAATACAATGGTTATATGTATAACATTATATTTAGATGAGAAAAAAGAATAATTTTTTTTTTAATTCTTTTAATTACCAAAAACCTCAACCATGAAATTAAAGACAGAAAATAAACCCAATGTCATATAAATAAAGTTAAGAATATAATTTTAGTTTCGCTAGACCAAAAATTAATGTCATTTCTAGTAAAACCTAATCACACCCAATTCATTCTAAATTAAGGATTAAAAATATTTTCAGAAGAACAAACCGAAAATCATCAAAAATATAGAAAGAAAATAAACAAATTTTAATTTCAGATTTTTGTGAACTTAATCCTTTCGAAAGGATAAACATTTTATCTTTGGAATATTCAAGAAGGAGAAGAAAATTTAAAACTTTTTTATATTTATCATTCGGACATTATATTGTATAACATTATTAGGCATATTATTCATTGAATGTATTTTATTTAATTTTAGAACTTAATAATTACATTATGTACATATATAAACAAATGTACATGTATAGTGTATACTTTGCACATAATTTTAATAAATAAGTTTATTATGTGTGTAAAAATCACTCTTGTATTCTAATTTTTATGTATAAATTGTATAAGAAAAAGTTTCCATTATTTACAAATTATATTACTTTACACTCTATTTCAACTTAAAATAAAATTTGTATATTATATGAATATTAATTAACTTAACTAACTAACAGAATTATATACGATCCAAATTATTCAACAACAACAAACAAATAAGACTAATAAACAAGAGAGGGAGAATGAGATAGAAATAAAGTCGGGTCAAATCAATGGTTTGTAATCCAGCGTTTTTCCCTACATTATTAAAATTACTTTCATTCATATACGAATATATTTCAAAAATTGCATACTTTTAGGATTACCAATGTATTCAATCTTTGAAATAAATTAAAAACAAATTGAAAAAGGCATTAACATAATGCTCGAATCTTAGGGATATTTGCGTCAGTTAAGAAAAATAATTATATTTTTTAGTTGTATGGAATTTATCGTTAGCTGTCTGCGTTTACAGAAATTTGGAAAAGCTTACGGTTTCGAAAATATAAGGTACCAAAAATTCAAATTTTACAAATCTCGTGAGACAATAACTTGAGAGTGCGTCCAGGTAGAACAACATTTTTTTCCAACGAAATGAACTGGTTATTAGTGTTTAAAAGTTGCTAAAGTTTCAGACTCCTAAATTTTTTAGGCTAGTAGAACAACGATATCAAAAATTTGGAAAAAAACTAACTTTAGATAACGGTAAATTTTAGCGGCCATTTTGCTTTCTAAAGTTGAAGTATTGTGTGGCGCGGTAGAAGAAACCATCCAGTATTTTTCTGCGTTTGCAAAAATTGAAAAATGCTTATGGTTTCGTTGTAATAAATATTTGATAAAGGTAAAAAATTTTGTTCTACGGAAACAGGCTTCTCGTAAAGACCTATCTATCTATTTTAGCTTTCTATCTGCAAGGGTGTAAAAGTTTTTTAAAAATGTCCACGTACGGACGGACGGACAATATCAAACTAACAAGCACTTTTTTTCAAAAATTTTTGGCAAAGTGCTAAGAAAAGGGTATATATTTACTAATATTGTTGTTGTTGCTATTGTTCAAAGTGAATAGAGAAATACTTCAAAAATCAGTTCGAAAATAACAACAAATAAAAATTCTTGTAGTTTGTTACTTTTATGTAAGTGTGTATTTATAATGAAAATTTACTTTTCTGAAACAATTTTAGTATACATATATAATGTTTAAAAAAAAGGACTTCATGGACCACTTTTCATATATGTATTTATGTGTACGTGCGTTTGAGCACAAGATGTACCTTGTTCATGCGAATCGTAAGAAATTACTCAAGGATTTAAACTTTCACAGCGTAAACTGTATTTAATACTAGCCTGATATGCTTGTTGTTATATAAGCACATATGGGTCTTCAAATATATTTGATATACAAGTATATAAAAATCTTGCTAAACATTTGCGGTCAGTCGCCTTTTATTATGGAGATCTATGAAAATTGCTCTTTGGAACATGTTTGATCAGTTTTAATTTCTATTTCGAACATGTTTTATCTGTTTAAATTCCTATTTCGAACATGTTCGATTTGTGTAAATTTCCATTTCAAACACGAAATCGACTTTCACTTAAATGTACGAAAAAATTTTTAAAGTACGTCAAAACCTTTTCAACTAAAGATTAAGAAATGTGGCACCATGTTTTGAACTCAAAAGAATAGTAAACTTGCTTGTTAAGTTCAAATTATTGGTGGCTCTCTCAGTCAGTCGACAGTATAATCATGCGACTTTACACCTAGCCCTATAACTTTTATTATGTTGTATGACAAATGTAGTTCGACTATGAACAAGATCCTACATATTAAGTAATAACGACTGCCACAACATTCACGAATTTTAAATTAGAACAATTTAATTTTAAGCTCATTTTGATATTTTTTGAGACAATTTGTAGAAAATGTTATACACCAATTCTTATATTTAATCATTAGAACACATATACATACACATAAATAATATACATGTTTTTATATGTTGTAAGGTAAAAGAAAAGAGATTTTGATACAAACTGACCAGAATATTAATTACCATGTAAACTGACTTTACTAAAAAAAAAAAACAAAAAAAAGAAAGAAAAATTAAGGGAGGAGAAAAATAAACTTTGGTCCTGTAAAGTTAATCGATTTATCCTTTTTTTTCTTGCTTTCTCCTTTTTTCTTTATTATTTTTTGCTATTTTGACCCTTATAATAGAGCAATCAGTCGACTTAATTTCAAAGCACCTCATCAAACAACTAACAAATTCCAAAGAATAACAGATCCTTTGGGGAAATTTTCTTTTTTCATATTATTTACATGTTCCTTTTTTTGTTTTTGATGCTGTTCTGTGTCACTTTTGTTTTTATTTTTTATTTTGTATTATAAGATTTTATTTAAATTTTTATTAACCTTATATATTAGAGGGAGTGATAAGTGAATTTAAATTTTTGATCTTAAAATATTTTCTAAGAATAATTTGTCATTTAATTTTAAATCAAATTTGAACTTGTATTGATCGTATTAAAGTAAATTTTAGAAAACTATAAGGGTACCAACAGTTTATGACAAGGAATTTAAGTGCTGGAAAAGTTATTTAAAAAATATGAGTATTGGTCTAAATAGTTGAGTGTCGAAAACAATAATTGAATTAGGCCAATCTTTTTTTTTTAAATTTGGAAGTTTGATTTAAAGAACACATTTTTGTATTTACATGTGATCTAATTCTAAAAAGAGTGTGAAATCATTTAGGGCTATAAGTGAGATATTGTATAAGAATTCCGTATGGCATATGGATCGTATGGCATAGTGATGCGTATGGTTCGCTATTACAACAGCGATCTGATTATATAAGTAAGAAATTAATTAGTGTTCAGTAAGTACGAGTTGTTCAACATGCAAATGATAGGTACGATTAGTTATACTATGAGATTATGTGAGTCTAAAGTCTTAGCATTATAAAATAGCGGCAAATATGTTGTAAAAAAAGACAGTTGATTAATTTTAATTAAATTAATTTACTAAAGCATCAAGCAGAAGTAATGCCTGTTATACTTAATATTTTAATTAACTGAGAGTTAGGGATTCGAATTTTGAATTTTAAAATATTTAAAATAGTAAGTTTTGTGAAAAACTTTAAAAAAACTAAAGTTTATTTCATCACTTCGAAATTCAAGTTACCTTCTTCGAGTTAATTCTCAGTTTACATTCTAAATTCTTACTTGTTTTTGCCTTTTAACACAATATTGGATAACAAATCATTTTTATTGTGTATTTTGTACATGAAAATCTGCATAAATAATGAAAACATTATACCAGTCATTATTTTGTTTTTTCTCACTTACTAATATATAATCCATATATACTTGTTCTATACGACTACAAGTCACATATAAATCTATATACTCGTAATATAAGATGGTATAGGTATGTGAACGAATATTTCTGATTATTGTCCAACTGATCTACATTATAATGCAGAAAAATATGTGGTAATAAGTCTTTTTATATAAATAAATTTCTAAGTCTGTTCATCTAATGGTAAATATTCTGTGAGAAATTGTTCCATTATACTACAAGTACTAAAGAAGAAGATGAAGAAATAATTCTTAATATTTACATATATGAAATTAAATATGTTAAAGTATATGTACGTGTAATCTTTACATGTAAATGCATGTATATGAATGTGTGTACGGATAAGGATAAAGTTTTTGATTAAAAACCTATTGATTTATTTTTATAAGGCGAACAATAGCAAAAATAACAATTATAGCTTTTATACACAAATTATTTCTTAAGATACATAAATCTTACATACATTTTGTATATAGTGAGTGAAAGCATGTGGAAAATGTCATTAAAATCATTGTCAGAAAACTGAAACTGAAAATTTGTTGGTTGGAAAACAAAAAGTATAATAATAATGTTACAAAATTTTCTTATATTGTGTGTGATTTGCAAATAATGGAAAACAAAGTTATTTAAGGAATACAATTTGATGTTAATTTCGGTGTTGCTTGAAACAGAGGGTGTCGTAAAGTAAGGCTACCAAAGGAAACGCGATAGTTAAAGAATTGCAGCTTTGAATTTGAATATTTGTTTAAAAATTTAGATAAACGTTTGATTTTTAAGCGTATTATTGAAGTAGTTCCATATAAGAACCATTTGTAGGCACGTTACATGATCCACAAGAATGTGAAACAAATTCGCGAAAAAGCTTTTCCGGATTTCAATAACATTAATTAAAGCCAAAATTTTATGCAAAATAGTTGACAATTGGCCTGTCATTCAAAGAAAAATTCAAGGATAACATGACAATATACAAGTTTTGTATTCGTTTCAGTTTATGAATGACAACCTAACATAATAATATAAGAGTAATTATGTAGGCCAAATTGTGTATCCTTGAACTAAATTATGATTTTTCATGTAAAGAATTATTCTCATATATAACAGTTATAATTACAAGTTATTTGTATATAAGTTAAGTTTTGACTAAAATACAATGAACAATTCTACACACATGTTTATAAATTAACACCATGTAATCAACTAAGATATATATGTGTGTATATATATATAAAATTAGCAATCATTTAACTAATCTTATGATAATGAGTCAATATATGTATATATACGTGTATATCAGTTTATACACATTCATTTTGTATTTGCTTAATTAAACCATGTATATATACAAAAAAAATCTATGTGTACATTGTAAACATATGCGATTCAGTAAATTAAGCAGTAAATTTTCAAATCTTTCTACTTTTACTATATACAGTAGTTTGTACTGTGCGTGTTGTACATGAAAATATAAAACTATTTTACATTTACGGATATTTTGATTAAGTAAATTCAACATTAAAAAACAAATTCTATAATTTTTTGGGGGGGTTTTTTATAAAAAACTTGTTATAAATACTTTAATAATCTTTGGAAATGAATAAATTCAAGTTGCGATTTAATTGAAAATTGAATATAGACTTATAGAGTATATAATATGAGTTTATATTATAAACAGGGAAAAAGATATTTGAACCCATTTGTCGACATCCTTTATATGACAAGGTGCGTTCCTCGTCTTGCATAGCAGGAGAAGAGGAAAATAATAATTTTTACTCAAATATGTTTTGGTATTATAAGTTTTCGGTTCCTCCAAATCTGATTTGCCAGTTTTCATAAGCGTCCATTATTGTTAATATCTTGCTTAAAATTTTGAAAATTAATTTCCAATTTGTAGAAGTTTAATGTTCCACAAAACAATTTTTTTTCCTAAATCATTTCTATAGAAGTAGCGAGATTTTCGGAAAAAATAGAACTAGGAAATTCGACCTGTTGTTCGCAAAAAAGGATTAATTAATTTGTTTTTTATAAAAAAGGATTAATCATTGAATTAAATTAGAATTTTATATTAAATTTTAGCTCTGCTTTTTAGCAAAATTGAATAATAAATTTTTGAGAAATTTAGATTTTGAAAAGGGGAGCCTCTCCTTGGGCAATAATTGAATTTAATAATGTTGTCACTATTTTCTTATTTGTGCAACGTTTTCTTCAAATAAATGAAAACAGTTTTAGTAAAATGTGTACAGCTCAATTAATAAAGTATGCCAAGCGGTCGTTTTTATGCTCCCCTTAACCCAAAAGAATAAAATTCTTTTTGATGTGAATAAAATTCTATTCCAAAAATTTTAGAATTAAATTCAATAAAAAAGTGTTTTCTATTCGATATTCTTAAATTTAATGTATTTTTAAATTTTAATTATAATGATACACACTATAGATGTTACCATCAATAAAATTTGTAGCCTGTTACCCTAATAAAATTCATTACATACTACGCAACCATCTATACGTCATTTTACTTTTCATGAATTCACCATAAAATTGTAATTTTAATTTAGAAAATTTTATATTTACTTTATATTTTAATAAAAAAGATTTTTTATTACGATATTTAGAATTATATCATACCTGACTTTTCATTGGATCTGTATTAACTTGACACATATAACTGCCAGAATCATTTAATTGTACATGTGATATATGAAGTTTCCATGTATTATGACCATTATGTGTAACTGATAATCGTGGATTTAATGATACCATATGTGTATGAATACCTAAAATTGCTTTTGAATCCGATTTAATCCATGCAACCTAAAATTATATTATATATAATATAAAATTAAATTTATATAAATATACGCAAGAACATATATTCTAATAACAATAATAATATATAAAAATAATAAAAGATATCATAAATAGCATTAAAAACAAAGGTAATAATAAAAATTACTGGTACATAATATAAATGTAATAATGATAATAATAAATAGTAATTTCAAAATTAGTAATATAAAACCTTTATATAAAAATTTAATAATCTTATATAATTATTTGCCTTTCAAATTTAAAACAATGAAAATAAAATGAAACTTAAATTTATATTAAATTCTTAATGTTCATTTATAATGAAATTTAATTGTAATTTATATATAACTATAAAATATATATATATATATATATAAATTTAATAATGCAATTGTATAGGGATTAAAATGTAATTCATCTTTATTAATTTAGTTGTTAAGGATACTCGCATATTTATTGTGTGTAAAGCATGCGTCGCAATTGTTACTTTTTATAAGATGATAACATTTTCCTTACCATTATAAAATCTACTTTATTAATTTAAATAAAGAAGGTGTTAATTAAGCATTTAAATGGTTATTATTAATAGAATTAAATTTATTAAATCGGTTTTAATTCATAAAATTCTCATTATTATTAATTTGGGCCCATATATGTAAAGTAATTGGAGAATTTCTTTGGAAAATTTAGCATCGCTTTAGATAATTTAATAAAATTTCTAATTTTAGATCTATATAATTATATACGTGTGTATAGATATGTTTGAGTGCGGTTTCGTAAAAATATTTAATGAATTAATTAACTATATAATTAAAGAATAATTGTATTATCTTTGTAATTGGATTGTAACAGCATTAAACAATAATTGAATTACTGGTTACGGTAAAACCCGCATAAAAAAAACCTCCCTTTGTCATTCATTTTGTTTCTTATAGTATAAGTTTTTTCCAAAAGATTCCGTCTTAAGAAAAACTCGATTTCAATCGGTCCATTTTCTTTTAAAAGAGTAAAAAGACATTGAAATGAATGTAATATGACAAATGCAGGAATATTTATTTAAAACGGGAGTTTGTTTTATGATAGTTTCTTATAAACGGATTATACTGTATATGGCAAAAGCAATAATTCATAAGAATTGACTATGACATTGAGTTAAAACAGTGACTACAAATGTTTGAAGTAAAGAATCGACACTATTAGCAAGTAATTTAATAAAATTCAGTTTACAAAATGCAGCAATAAGAAAAGTGGGTCAACTGTCAACTCAAATATAGCAATAATAGGATCTATAGCTGTTAATGTTTTTAGTTAAACTCAATATAGGGTTGGGTACTTATTATAAGTGCAATTATTACTAAATTTGTTGTATTGCTTTACTAAAGTGCTTACAAATACAACGATTCTATGATTAATCGATTTAAAAACTAAATAAATTCGAACTTCCGATCGATTCTCCTATAATTTTAATCTTTATGTCGCTAGTAGCACTATCATCTCTAAGTAGTTATTAAAAAATCATTGCAAAAGCTAATAAAGTTCTCTTTCCAAACTCCTTTTTTCTAAAATGTATTTTACATTTCATTTTAAATAGAAAGAAAATTTTAATACTAAATTTTATTTATTTGCATCACATTCATAATTTTTGATATTTTTTCTAAAAATTTTTACTAAAAACAAATAATTTTTTATTTTTATTGTAATGTTCAAAAAAAAAAAAGAGGAAGAGAAATTATTTTTTATTTTTCTATTTGTTGACAATAAACACGTATTTTTCATATAATTTTTTTTTCTTTGATTATTATATTTTTCATTATATACAATACAATTATTACATACAACAATCAAAGAAATATTTTATTACAGAAGTTATGTCCTTACAGGATGTTTTGCGAGCACTAAAAATCTCATGAAAGTTTTTTCTATCTGAGAATCCTCTCTTCTTTCAAAAGAATTCACAAAACGTAATATTGTCATCATATGGCAAGCTCATTCCTTAAACGTAATATTGTCATCATATGGCAAGCTCATTCCTTCATAGTCATTTGAATTATAATAAACGCCAACTAGTCTTATGTATTCAATATAAATTTTAATAAATTTTAAGTAAATAACCTAAGTGATATTTGATGAGGTTACAACGATGGGGAATGATTTCTTGAGATGTAAGATGATTTGTAAATCTTATGTCAGCCACTACACTCTAAAAGGTGCTGCAAAGGTAACCTTATCAAGAGCATGGAATCTTCAAACAAAAAAATCGAAAGGTACGGATTTTACCAATGATTCAAGATCAAATGTGAAAATCTCGAAATGAATTTAATTCAGGAGGAATATAACGTGAATTGGGTAATACTCAGAAAGTTGAACCTGGGCCAGTATAATTTTCGAAATCCTGAAACATCCAGTAAGATGTAAAATTCTATACTTGTAATAAGAAAATAAAGAAATTGAATGAATGAAATTTTGTATAAGGCGTCCTCCATATGTGTAATATAAGTCCACAATTATAAAGATAGCAATTTTGAGCCTATTATGATTTTTATTGTTATTGAAAAAAATTACTGCAGAATTTAATCTGATTAAAAATATATGCATTTCTATGCCTACATAATACACACATACACATTCATACGTCTACAAACATGTATATATCCTTGTATATACTAAAGTATTATTTTCAATTCATGTTCGTTTTGAATAATGTACAATAGAAGGAGCCTTTTTCTTTCTATTTTTTTTTTAATATAGTTTGATCGTTTCTGCATGTAGGTATGTATATATGCATGTATGTGTAAACAATATATATAGAAATAAAAGTGATATTAATTTTTAATATTGGTGTTATAGTAAAGTCACGTCCCACACTCTATTATAATATTCTTTTAATGTTTTTTTTTCTCTTAGCTTATGGTTCTTTTTATACTTGGTTGGATGCATTAACATTAGAATTATGTATGTATTATGTGAACATAACTGTATAAATATTAGGACATCTATGTATGGTTGTACGAATTCATATTCAATTCTTCTAACTTAAAAATTTTTTAAAGTTTTTAGTTTTTTTTCTTTTGTGCTCTTACACAATAAAAATGCAGTCAATCAAATCAACGTTATGTAAAATAGCACATTATTTTTAGAAAATTAAGTAGTAGACGTCGGTTTTTATAAAATATTGTGCTGGAGAATAAGTCTCTATCAAATCTTATTGCATATATTTAGGAGGAATATTAAAAATAATGATACTAGTTAAATTGCATTGCTAATTTAGTGAATTAATTCTATGAAAAGCAATGAGTTCCGTTCTGTTTTTATAAAAATTTCGTATAGCTCAGATATCTTGAGAATAAATGTTACGGGTTACCTTACTTGTAGGTATATAACTAGTATATATCTTGAATATTTTAGAATTTTTTATTGGATTCTATTAAATTGAATCTTGTTTCTTTAGTACACTAAAAGGACTTTAACAGATCATAAGAATTAGGACGATAATGGGAGTATGGAAGGATAGGTTAAAATTATTTTTAAGGAAAATATTTTCATCGTTTAATTTTATTCACCTACAGAAACTCGATGGTGGATTTGCAGCCAATAATTGTGCGAAAGCCTTACAAGATGGACGGGACGGAAACAATCAAAAAATTTTTCTGCAATTTTATTAAGGAAATGGCCTTAAAATGACAAATTTTTGTTCATATGCGCACACATATATATACTTCCATATACTTTTATAACATTAGATGAAATAAGAATTTAAGTGACATTTGTTGATAATACATTAATGTTAGTTGAAATATATATATATACATATACGAGCATCATCTATGTGTATATACGTATTTTTAGTATAACATTTATGTGATATAATATGTGAATATGTGTGAATATAAGTAAAATCTGTTATGGTAATAAAAAGGAAACCATAGAAAATATTTCTTAATTTACTTACAACTGCAGCAATATAATGTGTAATATGAATTAGTTGAAATAAAAAAAAAAAAAATAATAGAAAAAAAAAAAATTAAAATTTATTTTTCAATTTGGTTGTTTACACACGAACACACACATACATTTATATACATTTATTTAAGTATAATTGTATAAGGTCTAGATATATGCAATTGTACAGCTCACTTTCTTTTATAAAAAATTTAATATTTATTTAGTCTAAATTGAATATCAATTTAGGAATAAAGCATAATGTGTTTTAAAGTATGAATGAAATGAAAATATTATGAAAAATTTAATATTTTTAGATTTTGTGTCCGAAAAATAATTTTTAAATATTAATTTAAATTTTTTATATTAAATTTGAAAATAAATTAGAGATAAATGATTTCGGACTCTATTTAGCATATTCTATTTTTTACAATGAACATAAGGGATTCTGAAAAATAACATAGGGTATAAATTCCAAATGTAGTCTTTAAATAATAGAATGTCATCAAAGTTTTTAAGATATTATTAATTTAACAACAATAAATTACAAGTATAGAGAGAAAGTTTTCCCTTAAATCGACTGATATTAAATTAATGAACTGTCCATGATAGCTCAGATCGAGTTGTCAATATGGAAAGGCTTTCATCAAATACTTTTCTATATACAATCCCATAAAGCTTATCTTTATGTGAAAAATTTTAGAAACATGCTCAATTCGTTTGGAATATAATTTGTCTAAAAAATTCGTTAAAATCTAAAAACACCTTTCTCTAGAATGCTACTCTTATGAAAAATTGGTGTATCTGGAACGTTATTTATATGAAAATTTCTTGAATTATGAAAAGATGTCTGTATGGAACGAAAATTATTTGAAAAAATCCTTAATATACTAGGGTTAATTTGAAAGGATAATTATTATGTTAGTTTTATTCTAATTCTGAAATTTAATATGCTCTCTTTTTAAAGTATTTATGCTTGTATTTAAAAACTGCATGAATTTAAAATTATGTAAATTTTTTTTTATATCCTTTTAATAACAACTAAAATTCTAGCATTTTATAGAATAGCTGAAAAATATTATTAATAAATTTTTTATTACCCAATATTCATTTAGTAAAATTTAATATTTAAATGCTTTTTAAAGTTTATTTATACAACTCAAAGCCAATCAACAACCTCATCTGATATTAAACTTCAAAATAAAAACAAAGAAGCATGAATCATCGCCGAAAGTGATGAAAATATTCGAATTGAAAACAAAAAAAAATATAAAACAAACATCACAAATTTAAATTCTCAAATTGATTATTTTTCACAAAATTTCCATAAAAATAACAAAAAAATAATAATAATAATATGAATGCAAAAAAAATAAAACGTATGTCCCTACAAAATATACTGTAAACACTGTACATATATACTGTAAATACTGTAAACATATACATTAACACTACATATACATATTACATATTTGTTTATACTTACACGATATTGTCCTAAATTGTTAACAACACAAGTAAATGAAATATCCCGACCCTGTGTTACAGTCAGATTATCTAATGTTGACAGAAAATCCGGTTCAAATTCAATACCTTGGTTATGTCCTGCAACAGATATGAAAAAAAAAAAAAGAATGAAATTTAAAAACAGAAAATGAATATTAAATTCGTACAAAAAAAAAAAAAATAGCAAACAGTCGTCTATAGAAGGACAACATGTTATACATATAGTTATTATGTATGTATTTCCAAATAAATGTATACATACATGTTTACCTTACATATAAATTTCATATGTTTTGTAAGGTAATTTCATATTTATGGAGAATATTTGAATTTTTGTTGATTAAATACAAAAAAAGTTAAAAAACAAAAATTACAAACAAACAATAAAGTAAAAAAAACTAACGCTTTTATTTGTCACATGGAAATTTCACAGGTAACCCAGAAAAATTTCGGTGTTTATCTATACATACCAGGAACATTCGGTTATGTAAATTTTAAACAAAATCAACAAATAATAAAGTTAGAGAGTGTCTAGTTGTGTTTTCTTTAAATAATAACATTGTTCCTTAAATTTATTAATAAATTTAAAACACATTTAAATTTCAGATAAAATATAAGAATTTTTAAAATTAAAGAATTTTTTAAAAACTTTATATTTTGTGAAGCTATACACCATTTAAGTGATCGAAGTGAACCATATTTACTATTATGTCAGTAATTATAAGTAAAATGGTTTTGGTAGAAAATATTCTATAACACTGTGGTAACAAAATACAAGAAGAACGTATTCTTCAAATTGTAAGAAAAATATAATTGGATCGTAAGAAACGTAAGGTGGATTAAAATTCCTTTCTATGTAGACAGGCTGGTAAAAAAACACTATACATCATACATCATACATCATACATCATACATCATAGATCATACATTATACATCATACATCACACAACATACATCATACATTACACATAATATATCATACATCGTACATCATACATCATACATCATACATCATGCATCATACATCACACATGATATATCATACATCATACATCATGTATCATACAATATATGCGATAAATCGTATGTTATACATCATACATCATTCATATATATCATATAGGTTGCCATGATGCATTATATGTCATCATACATCATACATTATAACTATATCATATGATCTTACATCATCGTACATTACACATCTTACATAATACATCATACATGTATTATACCATTTTATCATAATCTTAATTCAAAAAATTCAAAAAAATTTTGTATTAAAATAATAATGCAAAATTTATGTGATACTTATACTTTTTGACATCGAACTTGTTATTGATGTCAATGAAATTAAAGAGTTAAATTGCTCATAAAACCCAATATTGCTATGAAAGTGTAGGAAATTAAATGAATTTCATTTTCATTCCAAATATTAAATAAACAAAAATAAATAAAAAAAACTGGTTTAAAGTTAAATGATTTAAAAAAAAAATTAAATATTATTAATTTTTTAACGAAAAGAATACCAAGTAAATGAAGTTAAATGTAAATAACAATTTTTTATATAACAAATAAAACATGTTTTGTTATTTTCATACTCAAACGCACATACACACTCAAACACACACACGAGGCTAATTTGTATGCAAGCGCACATGAAAGTTTTTTTTTTAATTAACAAATATTTTTTACATAATTATTTAACTTTTTTTTTCTTTTAATTTTTGTGTAATAAACATACGGCGAAATTAATATGCATTTTTAACATGGAATTTTTCAATTTGTGCAACGAAAATAAAAATGCAAAATTAAAATTTTTTATTGTAATTTTTCTCATATTTTCGTATTCATTATTTGTTCATAATTAAAACTATTGCAAATATAATTCATTTAAAAATGAAATAGTATAAAATAAAATTATTCATAACTGGATCCTGCTGATTTCAGTCATTTCATATTCATACCCGTATGAATGTATATTCGAGGGGTATAATAGTTTTACTTTACCGTTTGTAATGTTAAGAAATAATGATCCGAGAAATTGATATAAATGTATGCTTTTGATTAGCATTGAATTCTGAGTCGATTTTTATGTCTGTCCATTTCAGCGATAAATCAAAGACTAATTGAAATATAAGCCCATCAAAGTTGATACAAATGATTTATATTAGTAAATTTCGGAAGCCTATTCAAATTGGTAGTGATCAGTCGTTAGGGTAGCTACTATACAACTTTATAAGTGAATTTGGCTTAGAAATAATTGAAGCTATAAGGGGCTCTTATGTGAGATAAAAATTGTTGAAATTTCTTGACTACCTGTGGTGCAGCCTTCATACAATGTCATACAATAGTTATTTGATGATATCTTAGAAACTACTTAAGGTACAGAAATGAAATTTTGTATTCACATATATGGTAACATGGCCGCTACATGGTAACATTCCAGTAAAATGGTTATAGTTAAGACAATATTAGATTTAAATAAAAATAACTAGTTGCAAACAAATTTAGACATGGGACTATTTATAATTTAATGTCAAGTAGAAAACTGTACACTCTTCGTGTAAATTTATTCAAAATTTCGAACTCTTTTTGAAATTTAATCAACAGTAATTAAGCCTAACCTAAAAAATAAAAATTCTTCTGTTTGCTTCAGATTATTATATTTTATTTAATTTTATAATATTAAAGATAATTAAAATAAAAATATAACTTACCTTGAGCTGAAACGCATATTGAAATAAAAATTGCATAAATACCAAAACAAAATTGGACAATTTTTGTACCAAAATTGCATTTAAAATTATTACGACCACCACCACCACCAAAACTAATATTTCTACCCATATTATTAAAAAATAACATTTAAAAATTAGAATTTCCTATTTTGTTATTTAATTTTTGATTTTTTTCAATTCAAAAAAAAAAATATAAAAATAATTGAATTAAAAATAAAAAAATAATCAGTAATAAAATTGAATTCTATGATTTTTTTTTTCTCGTTTTCTTTTACATTTACTGTTATGTGAAGAATTTTTTAAAAGAAGTTTTAGATTGTTGTCGTCCTTTTTGTTGATTTTTCCATTCAAATTTATAACATTTCATTTAGAAATGAATTTTTTTTCTTTTTACCCTTATTTTTTCAACTATTTTTTCTTTTTTGTGATTTTATTTACTTTAATATTGTACATAATTTCCTTTAAATTCTTTTAATTTTTGGCCTTTGGTCACTGATAATTTGATGAAGTTGACCTATAAATATATGAAGATAAAAAAGAAAATATTAAAAATTGAGGAAAATATTAAAATAAATCAAATTAATATTGCGAGAAAATTAAAAAATAATATTTTAATAGTTTGCAGTACAGCAAATTATTTGTAAAGTAGCTTTGGAGGCGGAATTGCAACTATTTAACTCTAATTTATCTAGCGTAACTTTAATTGAATTCCTATATTTCTAGCTAAATTATTGTTGCCATAAAACTTGTGGTTTTATTGTGATTTTGATCGCTACCTTCTTTATCCAACTTAACAAACTACAAATTGAAAATATTAAGTTCCACATTAAAGACGAAAATGTTCTTCAGTCATATTTGTTTTTCAATTCACTATGGGGTCAAGAAGCCATTAGACCAGATGATCATATTCAATTTTCAGTTTCTGTTAACAGACTGTCTGTATACTAAAGTTCGTTGTTACGATAAAATTCGATCAATAAATTATTTTCACGGAAAACCACTAATAATTTTTAGAATAATTTCTTCCTAATTTTCTTAGTTCACTAAGTGTAGATAATTAGATTAGTATATTATAACTTTTTCTCAAAAAAATCGCTCTCATTATCTACCTCATATCTAGTGGTTGAAATATACAAGTGTCATTTACAGGTTGTTTTATACATGCTCCTATTATGAGTGAACTCATTAGGAAGAATACCCGTACAAAATTAATAAAACTTAGTATTGGCAGGTGAGGTTCAAATTTATTATTACAAAGAACCACAAAGAATCACAAAGAACCGCAATAAATTTGAAAATAATATTAATATTGAGACAAGACGAATAAAACGTATTCAAATTTCGATCATATTTCAACACCTTTAATATTATTATTCGACAATTTCCTCACATATAAACTAAAATGTACTTACAATATATTGTCTCTACTATTTTACAATAGAGATGGAAAATATATAGTTTATGGTCAAAAAAACAAAAAAAAATATTATTAAAAAATCAAAATTAAAGACAATAAATTGGAAATTTTTTTTCTTCTTTCTCAAGAAAATTCAATGAAAAATTTAAAAAGACAAAAAATATTGGGAGAAAAAAAAATTGAATGGTTAAAATTGGAACGATTTGCGGTACATTAAACATCAGTTCGGAATTCTATATATGAACCCATTTATTTTTAAGATTTTAAAAACCTGGCGAAAAATGACCAGCAAACACATTGATATATACGCTTTTTAAAGACTACACTAAAATTGAAATCCAAGAATTAAAAAAATTGAAAAAAATGAAAAAATAAATTTAATTTCATTGTATGAAAAATCGATTTTTCTTTTATTTTCCTTTTAAATTTTCCCAGTTTTTTTATTGTTTTTTTTTTTTTCTAAAATTATGTATCTATCAAATTCACACGTGACTTGAAATTTTAAGTAGAGAATAAAAAATAATTTTATTTTATATATTTTTTTTTTCTATGCATTCTGCATTGAATAGCTTTTAAGGGTACCACTTTGTTTTTTCACCAGTGTATACATTTGTACATACACATGAATGTATTTCTTACACACATATACACAGGAAGCAAAAAAAAAATCATTTATTTTTTATTTTTATGGAAATAATAAGTTGAAATATTTTTTTTTTTTGAAGTAAGGGTCCTTCTTCTTAACTTGGTTACATATTTTTAATATTATTTTTTATGTTGAATCAAAAACACACTTATATATGTATGATTGTATGTAAAGGGCGGCTTGGCTGGCGTATACCATATCTATATTAGAATGAAAAGATTATGAATAAGAATAAAATCTTTAAAGGATCCTTTTTATTTTTTTTTTTTGTTTTCTATACTCATTTTAAAGATTTATCAATTTATTATTGCTGCTGCTGTTTTAAGTGGGAAACCATTATAATTTTTATTCTTTTAGGTTTTAATTTTTTTTTTTTTGTTTTTGTTTTAGAAATTTGAGAACTTAATTGAAATAATATATTTCATTTTAAAGAAAACATAAAAAAAAAAAAGAAAAGTTTTAGACGTCATATTTATATGGCAGAAAAAATATTTGCAGTAAATCGAGCGAAAAAAATTAAAAAATTTAGACATTGCAATTTTATTAAAATAAGATAAAAGGCTGGTTTGAGAATTACTAGGTTTATATGAATTAAGTATGCTTGAAAATCATGTAAAAGTACTTGAATTGAATTGGTAAAATTTAATTTAGTACAATCATTTATTGTGAGTCTATTGTGAATTATTGTGAGCCTATTGTGAATTATTGTGAGTCTATTGTGATGCTAACTATTCAAATAATATTTTGAGACAACTTCGTTTCTAACGCCGAGATATAATTGCTTAAGCTACTCACTGTAATTTATCATCGTTTAATTCTACTCATAGTTGAATTTTGAGTCGATTTATGCATATTTGTTCCTTCGTCTTTGCGTCGGCAACTTGAGTTTTCTAACATTTGGTTAATGATTAATATAAATGATGATTAAAAATTATCGAATTGCGAGTTGTTTATACTACGAAAGTTTTCCAATTATACACTCAAGAGTTTATATATATTAACAGCGGTAAATTCACGATAAATCTGCTATCGTTTTAATATAATTTATAATTATCGAATTTAAAAGTGAAAAATATTAACTAATAAGTGATTGAGTATAAATAAAATAACTATGAGAACAAGAACTTATTCTTATATTTCTCATTAATATATTGTAATATTAACAGAATTGCCAAAATAGTTGAATTTTTTTGGCAAATAACAACAATAAAATGTGCGAAATAAGATGCTATTAACGAATTATTTAGAAATTATATACTCTACACTAAATATACATATACATTCATAAACGATATTGATATTGAGAATATTATTCTTTTCCACATTATTAGTGTCGCAATATCAAACATTTTATATCAACTGCAAAATTGACCACAACAAATACACAGTGTGTACGATATTTTTGCTGTGATACTAATTATGAAAACCAAAAGTTTAGATTATTATCAATTTAATTTTACTTCATTTCACTTATATATATATGCATGTGTAATATATAATTCATAAAAATATTCATTATGATTTCAAAAATTTCTTAATTAGCAATTATTTTGTATTTGAATCATGATGTTGTAATAAAAGCTCGGTACCAATATAATTCTATGGAGTTTTGAATTAAATTTTATTTATTCAACTAATTAGTTTAAAATTAAGAGAAATTTATTTTTATTTTATTTGACCTTTTTTGCTCTAATTTGCCATTCAATAATTTTAATAATTTTTTTTTTCCAGTATAGTTTGGAACCTGAAAGCAACTATTGACGTTATTAATTTTAATTTTTGGTTTAGCATTAAAATTTTTACAATGATTTTAATTAGAAATTTTATATTTGAAAAAAATAAAAAGAAAATTAAAATATTTAAATGTTTTTAGAATCTACACGAATAACTACATAATTTTTCCTAAGTGGGTGTTATCAATTTAGGGTACATTTACGAAAGTTTGGTGTGAAGTGCGATGGCGGCTTTGGATAAGAGAAACAGACTTCGATAAACCTTCTTCAGAGTGAGGCTTTGGATCTTCCTTCTTCGGAATACGGAGAGTGAGGCTTTGTATTGCAGATAAAATGGAATTCCTGGGTGGCTCTGATTTGGCGGAGAAAGGATTTCGGGTAATTGACTTTTACAATGTGGTCGAATTTATTGGAAAGATATGTCTTGATGAGGTATTTTAAAACCTTGTCTGTACTTAGTTGGAGAGCACGATAAATCTAACTAATGGTTTTTCGAGGGCAATTGTCACTCTGTTCTGACAAATCATTGAATAGCATAAATAATGATGAATTTTATTCAATTATTTCATTAAAAAATTGCGTTATCAATGAAATAGCAGAGAGTAACAACTTAATCGATTAACAAATGCGACGTTAACCAAAATTATATATGTACATACATAAGTGCGAAATTTAGCCTGTACCATATTTTATTAAAATAATATTTGTGTATTTATGTATGTACATTGGATGTATATTAATTTTAAAAGATGAAAAATTCGAAAACTAGTCGAAGTCTAATAAAATTTTGAATAAAAATCTCATTTTCTAAATAAGATTTCTAATTACTTTAAAATTTTTCTCACTCTCTTCAAAATTTTAAACCATCTATGTAAAAGAAGATGAACTAAATTTTCACATTTCAAAATTATGTAATAGAAAAATGTTATGGTTACTCGCTCTTTCCTCCATTTGTGAGTTAAAATTTGAGATAAGATTTGAAAATCATTTTTCTCTAATAAAAAATAGTTTTTATAACCGCTGACGTTGTCGTAATATTGTTTCTTCTCGTAAAATTTTAAAAAAAACATAATTTTAAATAATTAGAAAATAAATGGTTCTTTTGAAACACAAAATTACTATCAATTCAGTAATACCATAAAGTTGCAATAAAGGAAAAATAATGAAAGAAAAATACAAAAATTAAATTTTCAAGGTTTAATTTCTTTCTTTTTGACTTCTGTCAAAAAATAATAATTAAAAATTCAAGAAAAAAAAACAATACAAAAATAAAGCGCTTCCGTTTTTAATTCAAAAATTTAGAGATCCTAAAAGTATGCAAAAATTATATACTATGGTAGAAAATTTTTATTAAATTGTCAAATTTACTTTTCATATTCCTAACAGAATCAACACAATGACAAAACAAAATATTTCAATTTTTTTGATTTTACTCAAAAAATTTCACAAAATAATTTTTTATTTTTTCTTTGCTTTTATCTACAAAATCACATAAACACTCAAAATCTATAAATACAATAACCTGAAAATTAAAGATAGAAACAAAATATAATCCTTCAAATACAGACACACATAACAATATGAAAACATGCATAATTTTCTTTAAACTTACTACATAATTATATTTGACATAGAGTGAAGGTCTATAACTATATACACAAATATTATAGCTACAGCTATGCCCATATAGTTGTGTTTGT